CCTGGCCATGAGCAAGGTGTCATTGAGCTCTGCAATCATGTCCCGGATATTTTTATCAGCATCGAATGTTGACACTTCATGGAGAACATCCTCCTCTCCACCCTTCTCACAGAAGAAGCATTTCTGAACATCTAATGCTTTGCGCTTCCTGGGCCTTTTCTGTTCATCATTTGGGGTGTGATCTCTCTTTTTCTTTGCCTTCACCAATTTATAATTATTGAATTTCAAATGGCAAGATTTGTGCCATGAAGCTGACTGTGTAACAAAGCTTTCAGCAGTTTCTTCATTCCCAAAACAGAGTTCAACTGGAACAGCACCGATGGCTCGGAACTGTTCAACATTGGATAGGAATGATTTGTAGGCATCTGCTTTGTCACCACTTGTCCTTGAACTCTTCAAGGGACACTTCAGGGGTTCAGCGGTGTCTTGTTGGCAAATCACACAGCGATCCCAATTAAACACCATGATGAATAACATTCTGAAAAGATACAAGCATAGTCTGGAGTATTGGACCTTTATCCAATAATTTTACAACCCTTTGAATTCCATCTTATCATTTCACTGCCGCTGGATTAGAGTCATTTTGCCATGCATTTCCTCTAGAGCTTTTGGAGGTTTAATGGTGAAAGTGCATGTGGCAGCAAAGATAAAGTGATATGAAGAAGGTTGTTATATTTTGTTACAGCTGAAAGTACACATACATCATGAATGTAGTCCTCGGGAAAAAACATTAGGGGGGCCTATACAGTTTCTTGTAAAGTACTAGTGTTTGAAAAAAAATCCCCAATCCATGCAACCTTGATTACCAAAAGCCACAAATAAAGATTACGGCTTAACAGCTTTGAGTGAACAAATTGTTTTGTATCCAAGTAGCACAGCTGTGATTAGGCACCAAACCTAGGTTTCAGTCCCCATTTAGTAAAAAATAAATTGTGTTGAAATATTTCTTAAGAATTTGTGTTAAATTATCAAACTTACCGATAATCTCAAAAGGGAAATTTGCTATTGCTGAGACATGTTGAAGGCTTAGCAGAAAACAGCAGCTGCAAATGTGTGTACAGTCTATCATCTACACACACCTTCACCTTCACCAGTGGTTTTTAAGATGTATGTGTGTCTTATGCCTGTCCCTGGATGAGCCATGTGGAACTCAACATGAGCTATATCATGCCACAGGAAGTGGCTTGTGGTTTAACTGATTAATTATTCATGACCATTGTTTTAATGGAATTTAGGGCATCCTGGGCATATGATGGGAGTCAAATGTTTCCAAATACACTCTTACGGCACTTCTAAGGAATTTCAGTGTAAAATGAATGCACAGAGCATGATGTGGATGTACGAAAAACTGTTTCTTCAAGAAACCATTTTCTAATTAAAATTGGTAATTAATTCAACCACCTCTTTGTTTCAAATGCTTTAATTTTGATCATGAGTATTAAAAATTGGGTTTATGTTCTCAGTTCCATCAAAAATCAATAAATCTAAAAGAGATCTGATCCTCTTTCTGCTATTATGTTCCCTCATGTAAACAAATACAGTGTTTTTTATTATGAATATCAGAAATTATGTAATTCAGCATTTATACCATTAAAATAAAAAAATCAAGAGGGCTCCTACTCTAATATCAATGAGTAGGTCCTGAGGGATCATCTCTCCAAATTTGGTGCTTTTATCCGCCCTGTAACGGTAATCTCAAAATTTGACATTNAGCAAAATTTGCCGAATTTGCATCCCCCTAGCCTACGTACACGCCCCCATCAACCACGCACTTTGGCCATACCTCCTAAGTAGCAAGTAGACCCGCTATTTCGACTTGGTAGATTTTCACACACCAGTGATTCCGGCCAACTGAAGCCAAATTCATGCAGCACCGTGGAGCAATTTCTCCTGACAGAGTCACACAGCTCCCGACAAGGTAGCACCTGGGCCCCGCTGGAGGTGTCGCACCTGTAACACAACGTGACCGTAGTGGCAAATCATTCGTAAATTGAACAATTCATACAAAAACTAACAAGAACATGATTTATGCAATCATTTATTTGAGTTTGAGTGCATAGGACAAAATGGGGATTTTTCTGAAGTAATCAAAAAATTGCTTTGTTCCATGATATCCGTAATGAAGCCCTCTAAGACGGACCTAACACCATTACTAGACTGTTGGCGTTTTCAATTCCTGACAAATATTCCTAGACCTTTTTTCGGGCATTTCAATTTTGTTCGCCATGTTTTCATGCGTAATTTATTCCAACCATCAGTTTAATTGGTTTCCTGCTGATGCCAACTCATCGGAACGTACAAGGGCAAATACATAGCGCACAAGAAGCTTCCGGCGTGGGGTGAGCAGCCGTACTGCATGAGCGGCACGAAGGTCTGCAGCTGTAGCTCTGCGTCGCTCTGCAACTGATGGCCGATGGGGTTGGGCATGGCAGTGTAATTGTATCCGACGTCAGAACGGCACATGGACACGGTGATGTCTTGGCATCGCTCATGGGGCTGGGTATCTGTCACCGGCACTCCTGTGAAGGGACATAATCCCCGCGTACATTACATGAGTGGACACCTGGTTCAAAACCAAGATATCATCATTCTACTTTATAATACCAGAACCATAGCCATTCGTGTGAAAGCAAGTTTCCTGGTCGCAAGTTTCGCACGCTTTCGCGTTGACTGTGTTCTACTACACTGTGTTGTCGGTTTTTTTAATGAAATTCCATATCAAAACATATTCTTTTTCACTCTGAGACTTTTTTGTATTTCACGCTTACATCTGTGAACATTGTCTTCTTTTCTGCCAGAATGGCGCCTATGAAACAAATCAGTAAACAGTGGTTCTCTGGGCCAAAGGTCATGCCCGGTCCTTTTAAACGCACATTTTTGGGGGCGGACAGGACAAAAGGCCTCCAGCTGGACCAAGAGAAAGCACTATTTCCTTAGCAACGGAGACTCCTTTGGCACTAACTGAGCACCGCCTGTTCACGAACAATTAACTGAACCAAGAAAATGAATACTCGAGACCAACGTGGCTCTTTTCAACCGATGAGGGGGTGCTTCTACTCGAGGTGGATAGTGACTTAGCAAATTTGAAAAAAAAACATAAGTCCACGTGTCAACAAAGCTCATTGCAGCGTATTGTGCTTGTGAATCGTGTCTGCTATTGCTTAGAAGGCAGCAATCCCGTAATATTTAGACAAACTCATGACCTCGTCGCTTCCCCATGGCTGTTGTGCTGTTCCCATTCGTTTGGTTGTGAATCGATGGCCCACGGAACATCTTGATTGATTTCTCACGATCGTCAAGAAGGGGGTGAGCAGACGAGCTATAAATCCGAGCGAAACCTCGGGAAACTCCATGCGGCTTCGATACACGTAAAACTATCAAAGGTGACTGCACAATTACCCCCTAGAAAACAATCGTTTCCTTCAGCGAAGCTAGGCAGGTTCTCGCACATCAGGCTGTCGGGCCAGGAGAATCCGTACGCACGTATGAGCCCTTCGCACCCGTCCCTGGCTGGTACACAAAGCTCCCTGCAAGGCTGGTTTGGGCTGTTGGAGCCTTCAGTACACCTGCAAGAGACGGGCAACCGATCACAGGCAATGTTACCGGGGCGCAAGTCCCAGGAAGATTATGATGAAGGTAAACTATGTCCATACTTTTTAACTAGGAGAGAAAAAAAAAGAGATCTTGAAGGTTTTTGGAACTCCCAACAACCAAAACGTAAAAGTACCAAAAAAAGAGAGGAAAAATGCAAAAAGCTTTATATACTCCATTTTAAAGTAATCTTGCCAGATGTTTCGACTGAGACTCCGCCACGAAATTTGGCCACTGCTCTGATTTAACAGTGTGCATTCAAGGACTTTTCCCAACAAATTAACAACATCGACCAGAGAACAAAAAGTGAGTCCTCCCATATTTCTTTCGATTTCTATCCTCCCTCAAAATGAACATGGTGTTCTAACCTCACATGACATATTCAGTTATGTTTTATATGGACTATTTCCAATGGCTTCCTTTTAAACAGCTCTCAAGAGTTTGGTACACTTTTTCCAATCGGAGATGCCCGCAGTTATAGTAATTTTGTTTTCACCACCCAAGCCCTCGATTTACACATGCCACAAAACTCCCATTTTCAAACGCAATAACGTCCTCCCTCCCACTTTGAGGAGAGAAAGACCAGTGCGTACTCTGGAGTGTACACGGCGCACAGCAGTGTCTTCAGAAAGGATGAACATCCAATTTCCACCAGTGGCCAGAACTGATGGATTTCCAATCCTGCCTCGTCCTGAAGTTGATGGCCAAAGATATTCGGCATGGCTGTCTTGGTGTAGCCGATGTCGGACATGCACATGGGCACAGTGATGTCTTCACACTGCTGCGGAACACCTCCTTCTAGGTGAATGACGTTGACAGGACGTCATAAAAACGGAAACAAGCCAGTCATTGATATCTTTCTACTCAGTGCTTTCTTCGACACACAAGAAACACCAAGCATCCTCTCGGCTGGTGCTTTTGAAAGCGCAAAAGGAATTGTGTTTTTGTAGCCAAATATACATGTATCTATATATTTTTTTCTATATCTTTTGCAACATACAATAATATACTTATAACGTAGTATAATTCGGATAAAGTATGACTTGGTTTGTATTTCTGCTGAGTAAATACTTCCTGGGGAGTTCTTCCAAATGTGGCTAATTCACAAAGTCCAAGCTCCCTCAAGAGGTCATAGGTGCATCGTATTGAAAAACATCTATAAGGCATTATTTCAGCCAAGAAAATAGTGGATAACAGCAAGCACTGCAGTTTGCTTTCTTTGCTGGGTGATTGTTATCTTACTAACCAGCTCAGTGTTCTTTGGCTTAGTCTGATCGTGTATAGTACCCTCTGTGCACTACATACAAACTACAGGGATGTACAAAAGAGGAGACGGAAATCCTTCTGCAATCCTTTTAAAGATGGAGAGGGGTGAGTGGTTAACAACCACTGGCTGGCCAGTCAACGAACCTTATGCATAAAATAAGCCTTTTCAAACACACAAGGCTTAATG